GGTATTGTTTACAATCGTCGTATAACGTAGGTGTCGTAAAAAACAACTGACGGAAATGATACAGGAGACTGGCAGCAGCATATTCCTGATATCAATTTAAAATAATAAGAAAATACGGTTGCCAACTTGCCTGCCAAGCGTGGCATATAAAGTAAAAGGGAGAATATGTTCAGCAGTGCTTATTTAATGGCCTGAAACAAATAGAATTAAAAAAAATGAACTAAAGAATGTCAAGGGAGCTTTTACCGGAACCAGCACTTGCACATAACTTAAAAACCCCCAAAACAAAAGGAGTTTATTATCATTAGCTCTTTTTGTTGATACGCGATCTTCAAACGGCTGACCAACACTCTCGATTAAGACAGCTTTCAAACGAAAAAAAAACTTAATCAAAAACGGTTCATCCATTCAGAAATTAAAATGCCACAGACAGACACAGGTACACACTAAAAACTTATAACACAACTCTGTTTTCGTCTAGGGTTGAAAACCTAAAGTTTTTGGATTTAGATCTGGTTTTTTTATAGGATAGGCTGACAAACGACCACACAGTCCACCTGATGGTAAGCGTATGCTGTGGCCCATAGACATCTACATCTGTCCTCGATTACGAATCAAAATGCGGATGCGTTGTCACCCGTGAGGACTAAGATGGAATGCCTCGTTTCTCTACACTCACCATACGAAACACAGCAGCATTAAGCTACTGGTATTCTGTAAAAGCGTGGTCCTTCCCCGGTCAAGCCGACCCATTCATGCTACAACTATACTACCAGTATAATTGCAGCATGGCTCTAACACGTATAAAATTAGGTTGTATTGTAACAGTCCCCCAAAAAACCCTTATCACCATATTTTGAATTTTTTAAATTCGCTGCGGTCCCCGTACCGTCGACGTAATATCCGATTTGAGCCGCTGTCGATTTTATCGCTTTGGCATAACATAACGAATACAGGAAAAATAAAACGAGTGTCACTTTGTCTGCGTTTACACTTGAAAATATAAATATTTCTGAGCAGTTTATAGCCCGGGTAATTTTGGAAAGTGTGGCGCCATGGTCGAAATCGGCCAAGAGGACATCATTATATATGTTGCTTATTATATTATTATCGGTGCTTTGTTAGCGTGGTGAAATACTATCGCAAAGAAAAAAAAATGTTTCTTAATTTTTTTTACACATAATATATTTTCAGCTAGTATTTGCTTAGACATTTTATTATATACATATATATATATATATATATATATATATATATTGATATGTACCTCTACATAACAGTATATTATTTGTATTAAATCAATCACAAAATATATTGAAAGTTTAAAGAATAATTATTACTGGGAAAGCCATTTAGTTAAGCCATCTCTCGTTAATTAGTATAATTCGTTTGGTAAACAGCACACCCTAATTATTCGTAACATTAGTCTACCATGTAACTAAGTGGAAATAAGTAATGTTTTAAATTACGCACATGTAACATATACGTATAGGTACTTTGGCTAGTTACTTATAGTATTTTCATATGTAATGAAAAATTACCTTTAATTAATTTAATATTTTAGACTTAATGATATAAGCTCAGCTCTGGAATGAAAGAAAGCGAAGGGGATAATTCGAGGAAAAGTCAATTCAATTTATTTTCTCTTTGGAACTTTCGTGTTATTTAATATTAATCAATATGTTAAACAGTTATTTTTTCCCAACTGCACCTGAAGGAGGGTATGTAGGGTGTGTATATATACGTACATATGTATGTATGTATGCATGTATGACTCCCAGATTTCCAGTGTTCAATATCGCAAAGGCATACATGATCTTTCGAGATTAAATTAATACGTTTTCCCTTAGAAAAAAGGTGTTTTAATTATTAAATTTTAAACAGCAATTTCATACAATTTTAACGTCAAAGCAATTTTAATGTGGCAGAGCCACGCCGCAGCTATATTATAGTTGTAGCATGAATGAATGGGTCAGCTCGACCGGGGCAGGACACCACGCTCTCACAGAATACGAGCGCGTAATGCTGCTGTGTTTCGTATGGTGAGTGAACCGGAGACCCGTTTTGCTGGAATCGAGGCATTCCATCTTAGTCCTCAGGGGTGACAACGCATTTGTATTTTGATTCTTAATTAAGGATAAATGTGGACGTCCATGAGCCACAGCATCCACTTACCATCAAGTGGACTGTGTGCTCGTTTGTCACCCAATGCTATAAAAAAATACAATAATATTCTACTACTTCATCAGCCCTTTTAAAATTCAATACTTGTATGAATGTTTTAATCACCATGCTTGGGAGATAGATTACGATCGCTGTCAGATGTCCCCAATGTTTGACGCAGCTGTTTGTCGTCAATCTGGCTTTTAGTCGTAGTTATTTTACGAGTAACTTAAACGACATAGTTATACCGCTATCTATCGTTAGCCATAAGTTTTCTCTAACATTTCGCATAGTCGAGCCCAAGACGAAATGTGGTTAATGAAAACGGATACACTAATTTTATGCTTTGATAGCTTAAAAAAAAGTTAAAAGTTAAGAAAAACCTTTGGAGTAGTAGTAAGCAAAACGGTAGATAGGCATTACCACCTCAATAGAAATTAACGTATTTTGATAACATGTAAATATATAGAAGGTAACAGGCTACATATTATCATTCTAATATAACAGCTGGGTAAACACATTTTTGCTATAATAAAAACCACCATGATAGGATAAATATTGTCTAATGTAGTAAATTCTCAGTCACACAGTTATTTTTATAATTGGGTTTAAAGCAGCAGGTGTAAAGCCGGAATAGAAATATTTGATATGTTTTGTGGAAGCGTCAGTTACAGTTAGGGTTTCCATAATATTGTATAATTTTATAAAAATCAGGATTGGGTTCGATATTGGATGTATATCGGATCATTCATATGTTAAGGATAATTGTTTTGTTCAATTCTGCTTTTCAAAGTAATGATGAAACATTTTGTTTTAATTAAGACGACTGCATATTTTGTTATTTATTCGTGATTATTATTATTTAGATCATTAAATTGAAAAAGTGTCTGTGTGGACACGGCATAATTGTAATAGTTTATCATCATCATCATAACATCTCATCACAAGTACACAGCTGAATATAGAACTCTCATAAGACTTTCTGCATCCCTTACAAGGTCATCACTTCACTAGTGCCTCACTTCTTATTGTATTAACTAGTATTTCTTATATTTTAATCCAAGTTTTAGGTAAGAGTAATTTTCTACTATTTTGGCTTGCTATTTATAACCAGCAGTACAGTAGTAGTAATAATAGTACAGCCAATCTAAAGTCCAATTTACACGCTAAACATAGGCCTCACCCACAGAAATGTAAATAATATTGCCTTATTTAGATTTCTGTGGCCTCACCCATACATTGCTTCACATTAGGGATATTTATTATAGTTGCCCCGTTTGAGCGGACATATTGGTTATTACAGTTATGTGTTAATTATTTTGGGTTTTATCTAAAAGATGCTGGTGTCCGTATTCTGTTTCAATTTCCCTCCGTCATCTTTTATGCCACCCACAGGATGAAATGGAAACGTGGATTCTCCTACGCCGCATCCACAAGGCAACGTTTATTTGTTTTTAACACACTTATATCTCCAAAGATTCTGATATCTATACCAATTCAAATTTATGCAACGCAATTTATTGAAATTGTTCCTAGACACGTGGTTAATATTTACCAGTTTTAGGGAATCGCTGCCATTTAAGGTCCCTTATTGTATCGTTCTGACGATTATACAGAGTATGTAGATCGAGTATCGGGATATTTTATACGTGGTAGAGCCACGCTGCGGCTAGACACAGAATACCAGCGTAAAATAGCAGCGTAACTGTGTTTCTTATGGTGAGTGTAGAGATCCGGAGACTCTTTTTTACTGGAAACGAGGTAATCCATCCTAGTCCTTAGGAGTGACATCGCACCTGCGTTTTGATTCTTAATCGAGGATAAATGTAGATATCTAGGGGAAGTTACCACATCAATATATACAAGATATCTAGGGGAATATACACAAGATATCTAGGGGAAGTTACAGTTGGACTGTGTGCTCGTTTGTCACCGTTATTCTATATTTTAAATTTTTTAAAATATTCTCTTATTTTTACCTCCATACGTTAAGATATTGCCGTGTGTTGCTGGTGTAAGAGAATCCACCATATTATCCCATGTACGTCATAAGAGGCGACAGAGGGAAACCGAAACATGAAGTGGGCCACAACACCTTCATGATGAAACCCAAATAAAATAAAAGTATTGCGGTCCGCACACCCTCCTGCCAACCGTAGCCTAGATTGCGCTAGAGAAGCTTTATGTTTTGATAGACTGGAATAAATGAAAAAAAACGGGAAACGGTTAACTTTTACGCTCACCTAAAATAAGTTAATAAGCATTAAATATTGCAAGAATAAGAGAGAATTCAAGTAAGTTTTCTAAAGAAGAACTGGAAAGTGTAGCCAACTAAAAGACAAGATGGTAACCCTCGCTACGAGCGTGGGAACGCTGCACCTGTCGTATGGGAATGATACAATGACTACTTAGCTCAGTATGCCATCAACAACTTCAACGAGTATATAATTGTAGAAACACAACTGCTAATATCAAGCACTGACTTTGAAAGTGGAGTATTAAAATATGGTTTGTATTTTTTACATACCTAATCGTAATCACAATTAACCGTAATGCTTATTATTATATTTACTATTTTACATCAGGTAAATGGTAAATGTTTTTAGATAATTAATTTGAAAAGCTATTATTTATTGATGACTGATCAAACATATGGTATAAAAATATATTTTCGTATATTTTTTAAAAGTATCGAAAATCCTAATTATGACATATTAATATACACATATAACATATAAATACTTTATATATATACTAATATATAAATACTGATCAACTGCTAATATTATATCACGGGCTCAAAATATGATATTAAAACCATTAAGAAAACATCTTACCTTTTTTTTGGGTCCATGTTGAATTTCTTTCTGCCTATACTCATCTGTTTGGCTTTACTGTTCTGTTTGCACTCCTCTTGGCCGTCCAGAGCCTCGAGTTCCGCCACAACCTCGCCCAGTTCATCTTTAAGTTGCTGTAAAAGAAGAATATGATAAATATTTTGTGTAAGCAACGTGTACTTATTTAAGCTGTAGAAATACTAACATCAGGGTTTAATACATGACCGATTTCAAAAAATAGGACAATGAATTCCATTGATAAATTTTCTTATCGCTTGTGTATGTGTATTGCACATTTCATACGGAATTACAATCAAGGAGCTGCATCTACTACACTAATAATAATAATAATGTCCTCCAGACCGAATTTCGGCCACGGCGGCCTGCCTCAACGGAGGCTAGCCGTCGGCGCAGGACAGGATTATAGTGCCCGAGTGTATGCGCCAGCACAGGTGCACTCTCCCTTCCCTCACTCTCATAATCCGATGGGACGATAAACCGACACGACCGGAGAGATATCAGGCGACCAACAACTTTACGTGCTTTCCGAGGCACGGGGGTGACACCGCCAACTTCCTGACTCCGGGCAGCCACTGAGAATTTCTTGACGGAAAAACTCAATAATTGATTTTTTGGCCCGACCCGGGATTCGAACCCTGGACCTCATGATCAGCAGTCGCACTACTACAACCACTAGGCCAACGAGGCAGTATCTACTACACCATGAAAGTGGTGTAAAGTTATTTGTCTGTTTTACATTTGTCATAATATGTATTCTCTCACTCCATCATCGTTACCGTTACTGCTTATTGAAGTCCACAGCTGAACGTAGGCTGTGGACTTGTGGATTACTCGATATAAAATATATATGAATAATTTCAATACTTGCTTACGACCTGATAAAGAGGAAGAATAAATGCGAATAGCTAAGAAACGAGATGAGAATAGGGTAATGTAAAACGGCAGTGATAATTTTCTGTGATCGGAATATTTGCATGAATACGGTTTGTTTCATTAATGTGCCGATATCGTTATAGCGTTTTAAAATTCCATTGGTTGGAATTCCTCAAGGATTGCCTCACATAGGGATATTTGCAATAGTTGCCAAAGTTGGCAATCGAGTTGGCAATCGCAGTTTTATGGTTGGTTTTACGACACTAACATATAAAGAATGTTTTACGATAAATGAGAGTAAACTGATGGTAAGTGACTACTGCAATTCCTAACCAGCTTCAAAGAAAGGCCTTATTTGCATTTTCACAGCTTAGAATTAAGATCAAATGTCTGTAATTATACTAGTTCTCAACACAAAACGTAGGTAAGAGAATGGTACGAACCCAGACGTTACTTAGGCACAAATGCCCCACCTCTTAGTAAGCTAATTATTTATAATCCAATTGCAGAAATTCAAATTTCTTGCCGTATACAATAATAAATTACAATGCGATTCAATACCATCTGCACCTTCTTATATATATATATATATATTTTTTTTTTTTTTTTTAATACTTTAAACTTCAGAAAAATTAAGAATGAATAAAAGTTTGAAAGAAACGGGTCATTACAGACTATTTAACGCAGACACAAACACCAATCAATATGTCTCTCTGTGAGATTAGTCGGCGGAGCCAAGATTATTACAAATTGCATCAAGCATTCCCCGCGCCACACTTTGCAAAACGACCGCAGTAACGACAAGGTGAACCGCAACGCCGCACTGTACCAACTCTCCATTAGAATTAGAATGTCTGTGTTTAGAACTTTCCCACCAGTATTTCAGATCCTACAAGCTACCCGGCGAGTTTCTGCCGCAGAAGAAATAATTGTTGAAATATCCTTTTAAATTTGGAAGAGCAACATTGTTTTTATTAGGAATTTTAATGCATTCATTGAAATTGAATGATATATAACTTTCAAATAAATTTGTCAGTGTGATACGAGCGCCACCTACTGTGTTTTAATTGTCCTACGCCTATAACCTTGGCGCAAGTGCAAGCAATAAGTTGACAAAGTATTAGCGCATTTTAACGATATGGCGGCGCATAAAATACGAACAAACAAACATTAACTTTTATATATTAGATAGTCAATGATATATTTCTTGTAATATATAGCTAGATAACTGGTATCCAATATTTATAATGAATGAATGAATGATTTTTATTCAATATAGATTACTACATAATATCAATAAAAATCATAATTAACATTGGATACCAGTCATTTTTTTATTTACTACTGTTTTGAAAAATAAACATTTAAATTTGTCTATTGATAAGTTAGTTATAATTTATAAGTGTTGTATATTGATAAAAACCTAAAAGAATAAATCATAGTCCTACGGTTACGTATAACTTTACTGTCTCGGCTGCATTTGCCAGTTTATTCTTTTTTTATTTTTTTTATAAAATCAGGGTGACAAACGAGCACACAGTCCACCTGATGGTACGTGGACGCTGTGGCTCATAGACATCAATATTTATCCATGATAAAAAATAAAAAGGCAGATGCGTTGCCACCCCCTGAAGACTAAGATGGAATGCATCGTTTCTAGTAAAAAGGATTTTCTCTTTCGTATGGTGAATACGAAACATAGCAGCATTAATCTCCTATTTTACGCTGGTATTCTGTGAGAGTGTGGTCCTTCCCCGGTCGAGCGGACACATTTGTGCTACAACCATAATATAGCTGCAGCGTGTCTCTACCACGTCATAAATTTACTAGGCAGGACCCCTTCTCTATCTTAGAGACTGACCTTAGAGTCTGACTGGGTCGGTAACACCTTACCTATATCCGCCGCTAAACTGCAGCGCCTGCGATGCTGTGCTGCAATCTGAACGCTACAGGGAGTCAGTATAACTGTGGGCCTAACGTATATAAATCCTCAAGGTGACAACGCATTTGCAGCATTATTAACGAAGTTGGTTGCAGACGTTCATTTTAAATGAGTTATATAAAAATTGAACGTTTCGAATGACTGTCTTCGTCTAATTGAACCAATATTTTATGACATTAAACAGGTTATCCGCATATATATTGTACAAATTTTAAAATATTTAATTATTGTTTAAACAAATGTAGAAACACAAATAGACCGTTATTATCTGAGAAATCACGGTTACTTAGTGGAATTACATTTTCACGCAACTAATTTCGGAACAGTTATATAGTATTTTTTTATTTTCCTAATTACTAATTCGCTTTACATAGTCGGAATATCCTCCATTACAGAGGACAAGAGTTATTTAATTAGTTTGTTGTGTAATATGGTAACTTATGTACTGGCTTGGGCTTCCAAATACAATTACTGTTTAATAATTGGCAATATTTTATAATAAACAGGATTAGATGTTGGGGTTTTGCAAAGTAGGTATAATTTCATTTTAAAAGACATTTCCTGCATTCGCACTTATCTTTTTTTTATATTCAAACATAAACATTATTTTCATAATAATAGGAATTAAAAATGACAATAATGTATCTTCACTGTTTATGGTGAGAAATTCTTTTCCAAAGTCAGCAGACAACGTACTTTATTGATATTTTTAATGGGTCTTTTGGATAAACACAAGTCCACTGTTTGAAGGAGTTAATTGCGACTAGACTTAAATTGACAACACCACCACCACCTGCTCGACAGTGAAGGAAAACATCACAATATAGACGTCGATAAACAACATGAAATATGCAATTGTTTGTCTTTTAAATAATGATTTGTATTTTTATATAAGCTTAACATGTACCTATGTAACATAAAAGAAATCATGCGAATACACCATAAACCTGCAAAGGCACGACATGAAACCGAAAGATTCCATAAAAAGCCAATCGCGATAAAAGGCAAGCCAATATAGATAGGTACCTACAACTTATGAGTAACTCAAAGAAAAGATGCACTATGTACCTACCTGGTAATCAGTCAGAACTTACAACTTGCAAACGGTCGCTAGCGTATTGAGTAAACACATTATATCCAATAATATTGTTTCGTCATACGAAGTTAAGGTCTAACATAAACTCAAGTATAATACAAAAACATTTTTATTTTAGTTCTTAACGCTATTTACAATATAATAACTCTTTAATAGCTATGTTTAATTTAGTTTTTTTTTTTTTTTTTTTTTTATAGGATAGGGTGACAAACGAGCACACAGTCCGTCTGATGGCAAGTGGTTGCTGCGGCCCATAGACGTCTACATCTATCTTCCATTACAAATCAAAATGCAGATGCGTTGTCACCCGTGAGGACTGAGATGGAATGCCTCATTTCCAGTAAAAAGGGTCTCCGGTTCTCTACACTCACCATACGAAATACAGCAGCATTAAGCTACTATTTCACGCTGGTATTCTGTGAGAGCGTGGTCCTTCCCCGGTCGAGCCGCCCCATTCGTGCTACAACTATACTACTAATATAACTGCAGCATGGCTCTACCACGTAAAAAGTATAAGTAGTTATAATTAATGTAGGTCAAGAAACCCTTTAAATTGAGAAAGTTTCCAACGTGTTGGTCAGCGCCATAGAGCAGGTGTATTCTAATACCAATTAACAAGAATAAGTTTTATCATCGTTCACCTTTGAATAAAATTAAAATTAATTAAGTTAAACAGGGAAAGGGATAAACAAATATTAACAAGGTGTTTGTTTATCAAAAAAAAAAAATTATGGGTCCCTTTTACCCACTTACCTTTTGGGTGTATACATTTAAACACGTGCATCGTTTTTGGTAACGGTGATACTTCAGTATTATAGTAGTTAACATAATTTTATATTCATGCTTACGTTTAAAGTTTTAAAGTAATTATCCACGTGCTCGCCAACGAAAAAAAATCATAGGGAAACTAGCATGCAATATAAATTATTTCGAGGATAATTTTACGTCCGCATATTATACCTAATTTGCACTGAAGCAGCGCGGTAAATATTTTCTGGTAAAACCCTGTGAGAAATGAAAGCTGGTCTAGGTCCAGCTTTTAGGCGTATTATATGAAAGGTATCATTTTTTTTCAATGTAAAATATTGTTTTACAAATTTTATTGAGCATAACTTAAATCACGTTACATTTCAACTAGATAAAATAAAATCATTATTCGGTGTCCACTATTTATAGCAGTCAAACTAACTTTTTAATAAGAG